GTCTGCTCCTGGGCAGACTGTGGCATCATCCACCCGATCCATGTCGTCGATACGCTGACCCTGCGCAGCAACATCTGTTTTCATCTGATTTATGTCGCTCCGCACTGTCTGCCCTAGGCCCTAAGGTGGTGATCGTCTCAGTGTTCGAATCAATCTTGGCCAGAAGCCCCTTCATCCACGAATGAGGCTGACCATCATCTCCCCGAGTGGGCCTCGACCGCGAATCGTTCGCATCCTCGCCGTCTGACCACATCCTGCGGTGCTGGCGACGGTTTCCACGACGATCCCGCCGAGGCCCAAGGCTTGACGTGCGGCTGTCATCCATTTCATCCTTGGCGCCGTGTGTCCTGCGGGACCGGTCGGGGCGCTGACCGCGAGACCCCATCGCGGCAGAGACTGCTGAAGAGACAGGAGTGTGCCATGTGGTTGTGCGAAAATGCGTCTGAGAGCGGGAGTCCAGACCCCGCAGTGAAGGCTGAAAAAGAATGCCAGGCTGAGCAACCTTGCCCGCCGCGAAATAGCGGTACCCATTCTCTGCCACGGGCAAACGGGCATCTTGAGCCCAAATGGCCACGGATCGAGGAGAAGGAGGAGGAGGATCGCACGAAAACGAACAACGAAGAGGACTGCACGAATCGGACATTGGGGAACAATGCTCAAACACGACGCGCCAACCCAGGGGGGAGGAGGTTGAACAGACTGTGCGCTCCTCATGAATCCTTCTCTTCCATCCCCTCCGCTTCACTATTGGGCATCACTCCTCTTCCATTCTCCTGCTGAAGCTCCCCTCCTCTTGCTCACCTTCCTCCTCTTCCTCCTCCTCATCCTCATCCACATCCTCATCATCACCACCACCGTCATCACCATTATCAACAACTTCATTTATCATCCTCCTGATCTTGCTCCATCTACTCATTGCAGGCTCATGCTGCTACTCTCCCTATTCTGTCTCACTCCTCAATCCTCCTGTTTCCTTGTAGTCATTCCCATTGCCTTATCACGTCTTGTACAACGGACAACCTCTGTGAATCCAGCCAACCGGCGGCACACACAGATCCGACAAGACCCCGCCCTGCCGGGATGCCCGACGCGCAGGGGGAAGAAATTCGACGGCAAGTTGGGGTGACAAGAGCTTGTAATTACACAATCTCGCGCACTTGATAACCCAGCAGCGGGCACTTAAGTCGAATCCCGACGAGTCATCAAATACTTGTGATACGTTACATCTTCTCGCCCTCCGATCCACTCCTCCTCGAACCCTCCTCCTACCACCCCTCATCCCCTTCATGTTGTTGCTCCTGTCCCCTTGATCCCCCTTCCTCTGCGACCCTTTTCTGCGCTTCCATCGTCATCACTCATATCGCTCCCCCCAGTCCCAAAATATCCTCGTGGGAAGTGCATCCGCTGGAGTACTTCGCTAGCTTCGCTCATGTGGAGCAGTGCTGAGAGCCCCCGACGCATAAAGCCCCACATACATTCCACGTTCATTGTTCTGACCAGGTCCCTGCGATTATTCCTCTTCCAACCCAAACCTGGTCGCAAACAAAAAGGTACGGGGAAAATGTTCCGTGGCACATACCCCGCCCTGGGGCTCCCACGCCAGGCCCCCCCCCCTCCCCCAGGCGCCCGCCCCAGTGGTGGCGGATTCGCCCGACAGCGCCATGCGATAAAAAGAACCAAAAATGCTCCGCCTTGCACGCCTCTATTACAAGGGCCATCGACATAGTAGCTAGTCATTGGGGCGGGAAAACGAAGGCGTCGAGAAGGGTGGAGGCGAAAGTATAATGAGGTGGATGATGATGACAAGGTGGCGGCGGCGGTGACGGCAGCGTGGTGGCGGCGCTGCCAGCGGCGGAAGAGGCGCTATGGCGGCGCCGCCAGTAAGTAGCAGAGGCAGACCATGCGCTCTTTTGTCGCGGGGAGGGGATGGCGGGAAACTGTAGAGGAGCTCCACGCGGCTGTACGCCGAGCGCACCTGGAAAAGAGGCATCCCATGTGCGTGTTTCTCCCTCCGCCGAAAACTGAGAGCCCATCAGACTTCCCCTAACTGTCCGGGTCGGCCAGTCTAGGCAGGGCGGGTCTGGCCTTGGCTGGCTCGTGCTCGAGGGAGCCGATGACGGCCACTGCCGACGGTTTTGGATTGGGGGGCGCGGGCTGGCCTGCCAGCTCCGGAGACCCGTCGACAAGGGTCGGGAGGCACATGACCATGCAGAGGTAGACGGTGTACAGCGCTGCCAGGGCCAGGAAGACCAGGCCGTGGCCTCTCGTGCCCTGCGTCTCCAGGGAGACGGCGAAGGCGTAGGCAGCGGCGGACGGCCCGACCGCCTTTCCCAGAGTCTCGAAGACCACGACGTGCCCGACGACCTCGGAGCGCCTTTCGGGAGGGGCGGCGTTGTTGGTGAACACCATGCCCATAGCCCCGACGGCAATGGATGAGTTCGTCCCGAGAGCGTGCAGCATGTTCGCGGCCAGGAGTCCTGGTGACCAAGGCAGCATCGTGCAGCTCGCCGCCGCGACGCCACAACAGACCATGGCGAAACGACGAGGCCCCAGCAGCGCGCTCGCTCGCGGCATGACGACCAGGAAAAACATAACGTTGAACAGCGCAGAGCGGGTGAGGAAACTGCCGACCTCGCGAGGCGTGAGCTCGAGGCCGCCCAGCGCGAGCGAGGAGATGGCCCAGAGCGGGACTACCTCCATGAGCCCGAAGGTGAGCACGCCCTGGAGCGTGCGCATCGCCACCAGCAGGGGCAGCGGCCCGCGGCACAGCAGGCCGCACGCGCCCTCGGGGGCCCGGAGGACCTTGGAGGGCGAGCCGTCACTCGGAGGCGCCTCGTACGACGCCTTTGCTCCGAGGCCGAAGGAGGGGGGCACCCAGAGCGTGCACGCGAGGAGCACGACCAGCGCGAGGCCGGTGCCCACGAGGCTGGGCACCGCTGCGGGGAAGCGCGGCCACAGCTTGTACGTCCACCCGCCGACAGCGGGCCCGAAGAGCTGTGTGAAGGACGCGCAGCCCATGACGACCCCCAGCACCTCGGTCTGCCGCTCGGCGCCCGCGATCTCCATGACCAGAGGTGCCATCAGCGTGGGCCACCCGTTGCCGCAGCCCAGCAGCAGGAAGCGCGCGAAGAGGGCATGCTCCAGGGTCGTGCAGACACCAAAAGCAAGCCCCCCAAGCGCGATGAAGGAGAAACTCGCCAGGATGGCCCGCTTGTAGCCCCAGCGGGCGGCGGCCAGGCCCCAGAACGATGAGGTGAGCATACGGCCGATCATATTGGCCGAGGCCATGAGCCCCGCCACAAAGCCGGCGCTGTCCCTGTCGTCCGCCCACGCCAGGTCCGCGGTCATGATGCCTGCATAACTAAACAGAGAGCAGATGGCGTAGAAGTGAGCCCCATCGCACAAGCAGCACACCGCGATGAGTCGCCAGCTGACCTCCCGCGCAGGTCTCAAGGTCGACATCGCCGATATCCGGAGACAAGAAGACGGCGGAGGAGGCAAGGAGGTAGAGGGGGAGGCTGTGCCAAAATGCCTTCGTAAGGAGGGGAAAGAGATGGGTGGGGAGCATCCTCGAGGCCCGGCGCGGACGACACCGCAGAGCAGCCGCTGTCCCCCACGTTCCCTCCCCCTCGCGGGAAGGGGGAGAGAGGGGGGGGGATCTGGCAAGGCAGGGCGGTCTGCGGGCCTGCTCCGATGCCGGAGCGGTCCCCTGGAGTGTAGACGAGGAATCTAGCGCAGGGTCGGCCAAACGCCGTGTGAGCAATCTCCCAGGCAACAGACCTTGCATCACGTAGGAGATCTGGGGGGAGGACGTCCGAGGAGGGGATTCGTCCGCCCTCCTTCCTCCCCCCTACCAGTCATTCTCCTCCGTGTCGCCCTGCTTCTCCTCCCTCTCCTCCCTCTCCTCCTCCTCTTCCTCCTCCTCCTCCGCCTCCTCCTGTCCTCGTAGTTCCCCCCTGCACAAGAATGAAACGCACAATCGAGAAGTGCATACACTTTTGTCCTGGTCGTTCGCAGCCCGCCGGCCCTTCCAATCCCCCCTCTCTCCCTTCCCTCCCAGCCCCCAGCCCGCTCACCCGCCCGCAAGCACGGTCATTGGCGCCGCTGCGACTGGTTGTTCTTTTAGAGAGCGGGGAGGGCGGGGAAGACATTTTTTTTGATCTGCGGGGCGAGAGCGAGCCCCTTCCGCTAAAAGCTAGGCGGGCTGCGCGCAGCTTTAATTTGGGAGACAGGGCACAGGAAGGCGGGGCCTCAGGTGGCCGAGGGCGGGCGAGGCCCGGGGTACAGGCGGTGTCGTACTGAACGTGCAGGGCAAGGAACGCCTTGTACAAGAACCGAGGGCGAAGTCCTGGAAGGCGGAAGAAAGGTGTTGCCGTCGGCGGCGCTTCGCGAACACCGTCCTCAAGTACTGCGGGGAAGACGCGCCAAATGACCAGGTCGACGTCCAGGGGGAAGAAGAGCACCACGTAGGCGATGAGCAACGTTGTGCCACCGGCCACCGGCTGGTGCAGGGAAAGCCCGGGGCGGGTGCCCAGTCCACGACCGGGTGCAGTTGCTTGAGGTGCGGCCTCCAAAGAGCTGGCCGCCCATGACCGACTGGGAGCCGGTGAGCTGCGAGGAGAAGAGGGCGGGGAAGACAGGCGGGAGGGAGAACGAGGGGGAACATCAGCGGGGGACCGGCCGGGGGGTGTAACATCGACTGGAATCGGCGATACGGCGCCGATGGATCGGCAAAAGCCCCCCGGTAGCAAGCAAATCCGTACGGTACTGGGCAGGGTGGGCTATCGGGACCCCATCGGTGATGGGTGAACGATTGGGGGACGATGCATCCCCCTGAGCCTGTCCCCCCCTAACGTTGCCCCTGAAGGGCGCGGAGGGCGGGCGGGAGAGAGGGAGGAGAGATACACGACGCGACGGAAGGGTGGCCAGAAGGGGACCAACAAGGATGTGGGGGGAGAGACTCGCGCCTTTTCGCGCAGGCAGCGGCCCACGCCAGTCTGTCAGGGGCTGGAGCCCTCAGAGCCCGAGTCCGTCTCCTCTGGCGCATCCTTCGGCCGCGGGGCAGGCCGACGCTTCCCACCGTCCTCCTCTCCTCTCCCTCCCTCCTCTTCCGGCCGAACCACGCCTCTTTTGACGTGCGCCCCTGGCCCTCCGACCATCCGACCCGCCCCGCTCCTCCCGCTCCCGCTGACGCCACCACAGCTGCCTCCCACCACGCTCCTCCCTCCCCTCGCATCCTGGCCATTTCCCGCCCGACAGCGCCCGGCCGCTGGGGGGCGCGCTGCGGGCGTTGCGGCGGTCAGTGGCCCCGCCGTCGCGAGTCAGAGATGTATGGTCGGCGGGAGTGTGACCGGAGCGAGGAGGGTCAACGCGACGGGCTGGATGTGTGGACGGCACACAGGATCCACGTACAAATGACAGCAGACGAGGGACGGAGAAGAGAGAAAGTGCTCGATGTATCAGGCCCGAACTCTTGTGTCGGTAGCAGTGAGGAGGACAATGCTTGCCGTCGTTCGGATTGGATACCAACGAGGTCATGGCGCACGTGCTGTTGCAGCTCATGCTTACCCCATTCCAGGACGCGGGCTCATGGCGCTGCTTCATTTCACGGCAATCTTCCAGTGAGGATCACCAACTGTCCTTCTCATGCCGTTTGCACTGTGTTGCCGGCCGTCCTATAGGAGTGATAAGTGCTTGCGGTAAGTACATCCGCAAGCAACAAAAGAACGATGCAACAAGCGCCAAGGAGGTTAGGGGTCAACCTGGAAACGGATTTCGGCGTGGGCATTTGGCCCGCTGGCTCTCGGGAGCGTGAGTGGCACGGGGACGCTGCGCCATCTCAGTGACGGAGCGTCCCGCCTACGAAAAGCAGCACCAACACTCTTTCACAGCCAGGACAGGCCTAGTGTACAAGACGTACCCACCACCGCTGGAGCCCCATTCCTCAAAGGCCCCGTGTGCGGCGCCATTCCTCATCATGGTCCTCTTCAATTCTCCCTCATTCTACCTCCTCCTCCTCTTCCTGTCCACGTGCTCTCGCCGTGGGGAACTGTCGCCATTGCATGCGAATCTCCTGCTCGACCACCTGCAAGAAGAAATTCACGATTCATAGAGCGGAGACCGGGCAATGACCTGTTGGCTGCTACGCGCGAGGGTGATTCGACATCACTGAGTACGCGCCACATGGAACCGGAAAGCGCCAAGCTGTACCTAAGTGAGATCCCTGAATAATCCATCGGCTTCTTGTGTTAGAACTGGCATCGTGCTAAAGAGGCTCATCTGCAGATACATATCGTCCGCTTGGAATGTGCATGCGCTTCATTACAAAGAATGCACTGCGCGTTCCGAGCCTCACGAGAAGCCTCACGAGCAGCCTCCAGAAAAGGGGCCTAGAGCTGGCAACTTGCGGTCAGACCACCAACGATGCCATACACGATGCACCGGCGTCCGTAGCCAGTCAGCGGTGCCGCGCCCTACGGTGCGGTGAGCTCACTGCGGCGACACCCGGGGGCGACGTCGGGGGCATTTCCAGGCGGTCCACAGCCACGCGGCAGCACTCTGCGTGGCAACATGGCGGCGCTAGTCAAGCGTCCCCCTCGCATGAAAACGCTCTCGTGACACACATTGCTGTGGGAGCAGCCGGGAGAAGAGGAGGAGAGGGAAGGAAAGGGAGGGACAAGCAGGGATTGACGAGGGGGGCAGATTTTCCAGGGCGACCGGAGGGACTCTGCACGACTCTCCGCATCGACGGAGTGGAACTGTTCGGTTCGCTTGAGCGGTCGTACTGGCTCTTGGGAGGTTGATGTTTCATAATATCGTTTGGTGGTGTGGTAGTGTAGTGGTGGCATGGTGGTGTCGTTGAGGAATCGTGCGGTGTCGTGAGGCGTCGGGCTTGGCCATGATCCAGCGGACGCTCAGACACAAGTTAAAGTCCCGACCAAAGGTCAAGCTCAAGCGCAAGATCAAGATCAATCTCGGAATTGAGCCTGCGTCCACACCCAATCCCAAGTTTCATTCCACGCCGAAGCACAAGCTTAAGCCCAAGGCCAACCTCGAGCTCGGACTAAGATCAGGGCGAAGATCGACATCAAACCCAAGCTCGCAGAAGAATCAAGCTCGAGCCCGATCATGAGCAAGAGCAAACATTGATGAAGCTAAGCGATGAGCTTCGCTGCGGCTACTGAAGCTAAAGTTGAAGCTAAAGCTGCAACTAGAGCTAGAGACCAACCTAAAGCTGGAGTGAAGATCCGGACTAAAGCTCAAACTGAAGCGAAAAGGGTAACGGAAGTTTGCCCGTGGGGGTCCTGCATCCTCCCTCCCTCGCTTCCTGCTTGTGTTCCTCTCTACCTGCCTTCCTCTCTCTCTATATATCTACATTTCTATCTCTTTGTCCCTCCGTCCCTCTCCCCCATTCGTCCCTCATCCCCCCCCCGCTCTCCACGGGGGTTGGCTCTCGGAAGCACGAGTGCTGCCTCTGATCCCCCAGCGAGGCGCCAGAGAGGCTCGACGCCCAGCAGGAGGAACCGGCCGAGACCCCTTCAGCATCCCGCCTCTCAGAATTTTGAGCGGAGCGTCAGAGCGAAGCTCCTCCATTTCGAGAATGTCGAGGAGGCTCCCGCCGAACTCCTGCAGCTTGATGGACATAGGGAACGCCTGCGGCCCCCACCCCTGTTGCGACCCTCGCGGGCAAGGGGGGGGGGGGACACTGGCAGGTGACGAGAGGCACGGGTCATCGGGACCCCACTCGAGGCGCGGGAAGTCCGTTGGAACTCCTGCTCTCTGCGGCTCAGCATGCAAACCATCGTCGGAGTCCAGAAGCTGGGGATTCGACGGAGGAGCAGGAAGGGGGGAGGAGCAGGAGGGAAGAGCGTAGAGAACGAGGAGGAGAGCGGGATAACCACGACAATCGCCAACATGAACTAAGGCTGCCGACATCCTCCCGCTCGTCGAGACAAGCAGCGAATACAACCGCTGGGCAAACCTTGTCGAACACCGGGCCACCGACTCTGGAGAAACGAATCGAATCAACGAGATCCTTTTCTGACTTTGCAGCCGCCAGCCCCAGTTGGCCAGAAGGCGTCGGGCCAAGCTCGCATGAAGCGAGCATGGCTAGTACTCACTGCCTCGTAGGCTTGAGGAAGCGACCAGATGCAAGCTGCACCCGTCGGAGGCGGGAAGAGAGAGAGAGAGAGAGACAGAGAGAACGACATTGCCCATGCAGCTGGATACCACTATGTGCTCTTCATTACCTACTCCTGAAGAGTCCTATCCTTGAGTCGGGCTTAATGCGTTTATGATGATTCTCTTGCGTACGGTTGATGATAGTGCGTGTTATTATGATGTCCTGCAGCTGGCGAAATCCTTCATGCAGCCACGACTTCAGGTTTTGGCCATCAGCACGATGCTCGATGTGCGAGCTCGATGAGTGGGAATGTCACGTCGAGATCGCGTGGACCAGTTCGCCATTCACGAAGATGAGCATTTCTTGAATGGGTGCTGATTGCTTTGCTGGTCGTGATGCCGAAGAAGGCAGGCGGCTTAACTTTCGACCAGCCAGACGTGTCTGGATTCTTGGATCGGAACACCTCCCTCACCTTCAACCGATTACTCGCAATCCAACGGCAAGCGATTCAAGATAACCCAAGACGTGCTGATGATAGGCTTGGCCGCCCGCCCCCGCGTCCTCCTTCGCTCCCCTCCTGTGTGCGTCGGGGAAGATCGCGAGCCCGTTCGTGCAGGCACGTCTCTGAAACGCGATTGAAGCTTTGTTTGAAAAGCCAGGTTCGCGCCTTTTGTCCTGGCCCACGCATGGGCAGTTTTCGTTCTTCATGGGGCCCCGGTGAAGGATCGTCCTCCTCTCAAAGCTGGGGAAGAGGTTTTGGCACGTCTGGCAAACCCTCAAAAAACAAAACTTGGAGGCACGCTCCTTCAACTGTAATCGTGTTGCGGTTGTGCCCATTAATGACTTGGTCTCCGCAGGCTTCTGAATCTTAGCCCCATCGTGTTGCCTCCCTTTCTGTCCCTTCCCTTGCCTCCCCATCATGTCCCATACAATCCCGTTACAACATGACCTTTTCCCCATCCCCTCCCTCAGCACGTCCTTGTCCATGGTAAATCATCATAGGGGCAAGGACAGGGACGAGCATGGCAGCACCAGAACGAGGCCACAGGAACATCTGCGAAACCACCATCGCCCCACGCCCACCGCCTTCATTTTCGCTCGCCCAGCCGCCTTCATGGCCTCTTCCACCAGCGGCTGGACTTGATGTTCGTCGAGTATGTCCTGGAC